GTGCAAACAGGGCAGCAGCAAGGGCCTGCACAGGATTTTGGGATAAAGATTCCTCATGCCTTCGATCTCATCTTCCCATGAAAGTTTGTCAGTTTCTTCAAGCTGCAAAATGACTGGTGGTTCCTTTTGCTTTTAGTCTTAGCTTTGTCTGTTTTCAGTGTCAGAATGGGCATCCGGGCCCATTGGAGCTGGGGGATGTGAGGCTCAGAGGGGCCTGTTTGTGCTGCTTACTGAAGTTTTCATTGGGTTGATCAGAGCAGAGGCACTTGCTGTTACCTCCTTCCACAGCTGTCTGAGTTGGAGTGTCTCCTACATTGAACCGTCTCTACCACATATCCATCTCTTTCCTCACTGCCTGTGGTGTTTTGTATTGCACCTCCTGCTGGGAGAGGCTGGGACTGGGGTAGGTAGAATGTATTCCCCAGTCAGAGCTCCTGCCCCATTCTCTACAGCTCCTCTCAGTCAACATTTCTATCCCATTCCCTTCAGTGCTTCCCACTGGGATGGCAGAGACCTCCCTGCACAGCCAGAACACCTGATTTGTTCCATATAGAGCCTCCTGCTAGCAGATGCTGGAATGGCAGACAGGTATTCCTGTAATCTCTGGATGCTGGGAAGTTCTGAGTAACCTCTGGCTGTAGCTGCTAAGACATTGCTGATGTCGTCTGACCCGCTTCAACCACTTTTGTTCTAGAAACTAAGTGCCCTTCTTGTCTCTCCCACCCCAGATTTCCTGTCATCTTTTGCGGCCCCTCATCAGGATGAGCCTGGCATTGCAGTGCCAGCTGCAAGAGCTGGCATCTCTTCTGGTGCAGAAGGATGCTGAGATCGAAGACTACAGGGAGAGTGGAGCTGCTCTTAGCAGAGGTATGGAGGCTGTTCTACTCATGGGGAAACCAGGGCTGGAGAGAGCAGGGAGTGAGTTTCCTTCCTTGCACAGGGTTGGCACAAAGTGCTCAGTCTGGCTCTTACCCAACGAAGCTTGTGTTCTGTGTTCAGCTGCTACAGCAGACAGACAGTAGCCAGAAGCCTTGGGAGTAGTCCCCAGGGGAGAGGTGGAGGAGGAATGGACATTGACCGGTAGCCGAAGGACTTGGGAAATCGCCAAAAGGCTCTTTGCTTTACTTAGAGTACCTGGCCTGTGACCAGGAACCTAGATCAGAGGCCAGCTAGCGAAGGCGCTGGAGCAGAGTCAGGCTTTTTTCCCACATGCAGTAGCTTACAGAACACTTGGAGAGGAACCAGGGGCTCCTGACTCTTTTCCTCAGCTTCCTTACAAGAACATTGGAAGCATGACTGTGCACGTGGGCCTCCTTCTGTGTGGAGACTCTGAGATGTTAATGAGAGGCTTGGGTTTAATCCCCAGGCTGCAAAGCACAGGGCCTAGAGCAGAGTGCTATAAGGACTGGCAGAGCTGTTGCTGATGGGTGGAGTCTCTCAGCACTTAGAGGGGGTGCTGCATCCCACACTCAGCTGTCGAAGCCTCTGGCACGTGGATTTGGTTCACAGCTGCCAGAAGCTTTGCATGCATTGGACTGAAGGGCAGTGTTTCCAGGGGACATGCCCTCTTTCCACTAGCATGGCCTGATTTCCTCAGAGCTTCTCTTGCACATTGGAGGGTTGCTGTGATCCTGACCAGCTCTCCAGGATCTATTAGGTAGCGGGAACTGGTCCAATGCCGCTTGTTCGGACACACACAGCTCTCTGCAGGCAGTGTGGGCTGTGAAGGGAGGCAGGCTATATCACTGGTCATTTATACAGCCCATTCAGTAAGCGCCATGCTGGAAAGTGATGCCAAGAGGTCCAGGCCCTGTTGTCTGACTTACTCCATCTCAGACTTGCTAATTTTTCTTGGATATACCAAAATATATGTGGTTGCCTCTTGCTGCTGGTTCTCAGGCAGCGCAACAGTGTCCAGTAGGTTTGGGGAGCAGCAAGCTTAGCCTGGGGTATAGACAATGATGGGGAAATGAGCAGAGCGCTGCTTGCTACAGACTTCAAAAATATCTGGACAATTACTGTGAGCTGCCTAGGTCTCCTTGGCTGTAATGCTTTCCTGCTGGCCTCTGGTGCCAGGGTTGATGAGTACGGGGGTTCCCGCTTTCCTGACGGGCGCTGCCAGTGCCCCTGGGTAGATGTTACATGTCACTGTAGTATCTGAGCTCCCCCAAGTAATTCAGACTAACAACAAAAACCAGACCCACTCTGTATGTCCCCCTGTCAGAGAGTACAAGGGCAACGAGCTAGTGTGTTTGGCCAGGCTGGTGGTGCCCACCCTGCTCTCACTCCCATCTCTGCTTCAGGACGCCTGAGGACCGAACCCTTCCAAGAGGAGTCGTTCCTGCAGAAGT